CGGGGACCGTGCCTCTGGACTGGCAGACCGGGGTAGTGGTCCCTCTTTTTAAGAAGGGGGACCGGAGGGTGTGTTCCAACTATAGGGGGATCACACTCCTCAGCCTCCCCGGGAAAGTCTATGCCAGGGTACTGGAGAGGAGAATTCGACCGATAGTCGAACCTCGGATTCAGGAGGAAAAATGCTGCCCCCGCGACCCGGTCCCGGATAAGCGGAGGAAAATGGATGGATGGATGGATGTCACACGCATCATCAGAGAGTTAGCCAGGTTAGCTAACAGCTAGCTACCTGTTAGCACCGGGGGCCACCGTGACAGCGTGTGAAAGCTAGAAAGATGATGACAGAACAAGGAGAAACGAGTAAAATGATTAAAATGATCCTAGTCACACTTATTTATGAATGACGGTGGTGTAAAATAGAAAGTAGGTGACCAGGTGTAGGGAGCTTGTGACAAATCTGAAAGGCAGCTGGTATGTTTACATTCTACTTTGAGCTTCTAGTCTTTCAGGAATATTTCTCTTCCAGCGTGCACTGCCCTTGGCAAAGCAGCCCGCTGTCCATAAGTGTAAGAAGTACTCAGATACTTAAGTAAAAGTAGTAATAGCCTACCACAGTGTAGAAATACTCTGTCGCAAATCAGAGTCCTGCATTCAAGTATTAGAATCAAAATATACTTAATGTTGTTAATACACATCAGTAGGGAATTGGATGAAATTAATCCTTTGTCCAAACAGTCATTTTAGGTTAGTGTGTTGGAAACCAGAATGATGCTGAATCTTGTTCTGTGTCCTTCACTGAGCATTGGCATTGATTTGTTTATCACTTCTGTTCCTCTGTTGATGCAGTTTGTCTGTTTGACATTTCAGTGGATTTTTGAGACTTTTTTCTTAGAAATGATAATATTACAAACTATTTTACTATGTCACATTACTATATACATATTATTTCAAACTTCAACCTTTTTTAATGAAAGGCCATCACTGTCTGAATTTTTCCATCTGAGCCAGGATCCACACCATCAGGTACTTTGCCTTTGTCTCTCAGGTGACAGCCTTTCAGCTAAAGATCATGATGAATAGTGGCTAAAATTAGATTATTACATGGGCTTCATAAAACTCAGAGTACAAAAGGCTCAAAGTCAAATGTTTGGAAGTGAAAACAGAAGACTCCTCTTTGTGTCTTCTTTTTCTCTCTCGTTTCAGGCTGGCCTTTGAGTTCATTTTCATACCCTCACTCCTTGGTTGTGTGATCAATGAGGACCATACATGCGGTTTTTGGAGTTTGCACCACAGCAGCTGCAGTTGACTAATTAACCAAATAGACCTGGTTCAGTGTTACTCGATCAATCGCTGCAGTGTGAGCTGCAGGCCGGTCCGTGCACATCTCTTGGCTGCAGTTCACTGGTCTCAAACATAGACTGTACTGTATTCAAAGATGGACAACACGTCACCACGTCCTGCCACTATGCAAAAGTGAAGCCAAAATATCACAGATACGGGGGCGGCCATTTTGCTTTTGTGATGCATTTAGTAACAAGATGGGGAGCCGTGGCATCAGGAACCCAATCAAAGCTGTCAATCATCTGAAATACACCACTTTTTTAATATAAAATAACTTATCAGAAAAACAACCACTTGTGCACACATCAGCATAATAACACAAACCTAAATTGACAGAAATAACCTTTGGGAAAAGTTTGAGTTGTACTTTGAGTTTTTATCTTCTTGTCCCATCCCCTAGCTAGGTGTACCTAATAACCTGACAGCTGAATGTATTTTGCAGTAGTTTTTATGCTGTGTATTACTTTTGTTTGTGACATAATAAACTATTCAAGATATTTCTTTGAGTTCCTGTCAATGTCTCTTTGTCTTCACTTTTACATACAACTTTCTCTTCTAAACCATGAGTTGACATTCTCCATGCGACCTACCTGTACATCTGTACTAGACAACTAAATCTACATAAACTAGGCCGCTCCTTTGATAAAAGATAGTGGTGGGAAGCTTCAACAAAGTGTTTCAAGTTGCATCTTATCATGCTGTTGATCTCTGTGTTTACACTCTGCTAAGTCTTGCAACATGCTGAACCAAGTCATCTAAAAGCTGTGTTCATCTTTCCTGGATTTTGTTGAAATGACTTTTTTATTTTTCTCTATTCACAGAAGTGAGCCATGGCTGAACCAAGCTCCTCCTGTCCCCAAAGGAAGATGTCCACCGCTGGGGAGAGCATGTACAAGGTGTTAGGGCTGGAGAAAGGAGCCTCAGCTGAGGACATCAAGGGAGCATACAGGTAAGCAGTGTGAACCTTCAGTAATCTCAGGTAGTGAGGTGTCTCAGGTTGCAATATTAGTTTCTCCAGAGATAGGGGGCTCACCATGCTGTGATTACTACTTTAGATGGTTCCCAAATCCTTGGCTTAAATTTGTCAGATCACATTCCTGATTATGTTTGTGGCTGTTGCACATTTGTCTGCGTAACTGGAGATTACTCAGGTGTACTGAGGGACATTTCCTTACCAGTCATGCTATTGTGAAAAGAACATAGTTGTCTATGCAAGATGAGACAAGCTGTGAATGTGTGCCATACACTTATTAAAATAGCATTACAATTAATGGATTATCACAATAGTAATATAAGCCCCAGAGCTTTCCCTGGGGAGCAGGAACCTTTCGTGGAACTTAGTCCTGCTACTTGGGTTTCCACCAGGAAACCAGTAGTTCTGCCATCCACAAACAGTCTCTTGTCAGGAGGGTAGTATTTTCTGAAGGTCCAAGTACTGTCAGGATGAGGTCTGCAGTGCTGAACGTTGCTGGTTGGTACTGCTTGGTCAAATACAGCACAGCGTTTTACACCTGGCATTCATTTGTAAAACCCTGCTGCTGACCAGAGCACTTTGCATACATCAGCAGGCTTATTTGTTTTATCTTTCCGGGGCTTCGGCCCTGCTGTGGAAATCCAAATCACAATGCACTCGAGGGACTTTTACCCCAGGGACCATTCTTGGAAAAGTACCAGGAACTTTCCAGTTGAAATGCACCTTCAGTCTGTAACAAATTATTTTCATTATAAATTAACCTGTTGATGGTCTATAAAATGTGAATTAAAACTATCAAGGAAATCTACATTTCTATCAAAATACTAATTTCATCAAAATCAAAAAAACATCTAACACTTGAAAATATGCTGCCCCATAAGGAAACAAGTCCTTGTAGTCGAGAGGCTGAAAGTTGGTAAATTTGTTTGCCTGTAAAAATGACTAAATTAATACAATTAACTGTGAAAATAGTTGTCATTCTAGCAACTAATTGTTTAATTTCCATATCCAATTACTAGAAATTAACCTATAATATTTTAGTAAAGAAGACGATCGATTTGGAGGTTCTGCACTTTGCGATAACGGAGGGTTATAAGGTCGTCCATGTAACCTTATGAACCTGACACCAGAGTTGGAACCTTGTGACTGTCTGTTTGAATAGACAGGAACTAAATGACTGATGTTAATGGATAGTGTATAATTAATTGTTAAGTGAAGATTAAAATGTCAGAGTTGGCCTGTCGTCTTGATCATGTTTCCTGATGGCTTCCTGTGTCCTTGTCCGGTCTCTCCTGTCAGAAAACTAAGACTGAAGTACCACCCGGATAAGAATCCAGACAACCCGGAGGCAGCGGAGAAGTTTAAGGAGATTAACAACGCCATCTCTATTTTACTTGATGAGACCAAGAGGAAGATTTATGATGAGTATGGCTCCATGGGCCTTTATGTGTCCGAACAGTTCGGAGAGGAAAGCGTCAAATGTTACTTCCTCATGTCCAAATGGTGGTTTAAGGTCTGTGTTTATGTTTGTGTTTACTCTGTATGGATTTTTTTTTAACAAAATACTCCTCCAGGTTATTTATTAAGATGCATTTAACCCTTTTGAGTTACTCATGGTTTATCATCATTTCAAATTAAGGTCTTTTTTTGAAACAGCAAACACAAAAGGGGTTGTTCTTCTCCTGTAAAATTAGTTTTGCTAAATTAAGTGAAAATGTTTCTGTTTTTCATGGCTCCTTATGTTAGAATCAGATTGTCTGCTGTCAGATGGCAGAAAAGTGTTTTAAAGTGTGCTGCTCTTGCATGTTTATTCCTGCAGGGCCTGGTGTTGTGCTGTACGTTGTTCACCTGCTGCTGCTGTTGCTGCTGCTGCTGTTTCTGCTGTGGGAAGTGTAAACCACCTGAGGACAATGAAAGCTACCAATATGTCGCACCTGAAGACCTGGAGGCCCAAATCAAAGCGGAGCAGGATGAAGGTGAGAGGTTGCTTCATATAATTATAATTTAAGCTCGGTTCGCTCTATTGCAGTCGTTTTCTCCCTAAACTGCCAATGACCTTTGTACACCTCATATATTATAAATATTCTGCCTTCCTGTTACTATGATTTATGTACATAGTGTATTGCATCATTTTTCTGTGTCAGTTAATGAACCTCTTGCAGACAGTACAATGTTCCACAAGGGAACAGATCAGTCACCTCCTATTATCTAGATACCTTTCACAGTGATTCATACAGGCAGAGTATCAGCTAAGGCTGCACAATAAATCCCTCCCTTTCCCCCGCAAAGCTGCGTTACCCAGTAACCGCAACCAATAACCGCAAAGTGTTTTATTTCTGCCTCGACTGCTATTCGGCGCACGTTGCACAGGGCAGGCAGCGCAACATTTGAAAAAATGCAGGACGGCACAGAATATCTTTCACCATGTCAGACATGTTGGATTAGTTTTTGAATCAGTCTTCTCTTTCCGTCTAGAGCTTGTCACATGATGTAACGCATTGCTGCTTTTGGTTAATGCAGCTTAGCGAGGACAAGGGAGCGCTTGGTTTGATGAAAGGCATCTCCATGCTAATACAAACACAGCAGAATCATTGTCATGTGAGATAAGATCTCATTGGGACCTAGATCACACACAAATTTATTGTGCAGCCCTAATATGAGCTCTAACTGTGGTGCCTTTAATGCACCTTCTAACTATTCTATGTAATTCTGTAAAGAAATCAGTGGATGATTTTATTACCTCCTTCTCTGTCAAGTTAAATTTTTATTCCTTAGAGTTAAATGTTTTTTTTTTTTTTTACAAGAAGAAGATTATTTCCTTTTTTAAGTTACATAGTCTCACTTTAAATCCAGTAACACCACAGCATCACGACTGACGTCATGTCTATTAATGTTACATCTTCTGTGGGAAAACAGGTGTTAAAGTAAAATTATAACCATCCCAGTTCTTCCTGTTACCAGTGCACCAGTGGCTTTAACATGCTGTCACACTGCAGGATTCTTGTTTTCATCCTCCAACCCAGCAGGTAGCACGGTAATCATATGCCAGCCGACATCTGATCTGGGTCCAGAAGGCCAGAGTCAGCCAATCCTGCTGCCTATGCCCATGCCTCCACCTGAGCCCAAGTCACTGTCATCAACCAGTCCAGCAGGGGAAGAAAAGGCTAGAGAGACCTTACCAGAGTCAAAATGACTTGTAAGAAGCGCGTCGTCTGATTTATGTGCTAAACACCGTCACTCATGTGTTTGTCTTGTATGAGAAGCTGTCTTCCTCCTTGGTGTTGCTTGTCAGCTGCACGCCAGCTGCACATCACTTCTGCCCTAACAAACCGCCTACGCTGTCCAGTTACAACTGTCATGCTTGTTTACTGCAACATTCACTGTGTTGTTCTTGCACCAGCATGTCTCTACATATTGTCCAGATGTGTGTGAGTGGTACATTAAGCTACTGTACTGTTTGCTGAGAAAACAAGCATGGCTGAACAAATCACTGTAGCTGCTGTCTTTTATGTCGTTTCTTTGGCATCTCACAGACAGGACACTTGTGCACTTCTCTTGTGAGGATCGAGGACCAAACAAAGCTATTCATGAAGTATGTAGTGTTATATTAGGCAGATATTCTTTGAAAATGTGAGGGCATTGTTTGTCTACTTTACAAAACACAACACCGTGTTTCTAATTAAATTAGCCGTTTTATTTTCTTATTTTGCCTGTTTTTTATGGAATGATTTTAGCTGCCTGTGTTATGAAATGAGCAGGTTTTTACTACTTTTATTCTGCTTAAAATATAAACCTATTGCAGAAGTTTTGAAAAATGTCATTTTGCTCTCTGTAACAAACAGAAATTAGATGTAAATGTTCTGTTGTATTGTTACCAGGATATGTTTTTACCACCATGTTTGTTGAATTGTTGCATAACTCAAAAAGTAAGGAATGGTTTTTGATGGAATTTTTTGGGAGAGGTAGGGTTTGGCCCACGGAAGAATCGGTCACACTTTGGTGGTGATCTGGCTCTTCATACTAATTCAGGGATTTTTTTTATGGCATTATGGGAAACTACCTTGGTGGAGGTTTGCGCTCGGAGTGCTGCTTAGTTATGTGTGAAACAGGGATGAAACAGCTGTGTTCCTCTCCTGCCACAGGAAAGTGACAGTGTGCGAAGAGACCAGAGATCAACCAGCCCAAAGCCACCAGCCAGCTCAGGCCCATCCCTCAAGCATGACCTTCACAACCTACCTGATATGTCCACTGGACAGCACCTGTAAGGTGGGCACTTACAGGCTCTTGGCCCCCTCCATGAAACTGAATTATGGATGAGTATTCATGCAAATTAACCTGCTAGCCTGGCTCCAGCCCTGTGAAAACCCTCAGGCCAACTAGCAAGTACAAGGCAACTAGCCAACCTCATACAAGTCCCCACTCGCTTCTTCCTGTTTCCCATGTAGTCCACTCGGGGCTGGATTTGGCCTAGCTAGCAGTCCAGTTATCCAGTGTTACACTAGGCTTGGTAACATGCCTGAACTCCTTACTAATGTGTTCTAGGTATCCCATTCCAACCAGTAAGAATGTGACACTGGGCAGGAAGATGGTGAAAACAAGGGGATATAATGGCAGAAGTGAAGAATCATGGTACACGATCCTCATTATTTATCTACTTTCCAGAACAGGACTGGAATTATCTTCCTCTCGTTTGCATTCCTTCCTGTCTTCTACCATTTTGGACTGTGTACATTGTAGACAGGAATGTTTATGTTTATTTTATTTTTATTTTATTTACATTTCTCCTGCTTTAACTTGTTTTGGAGTGACCCTTTAAAAGGATTGGTCGTACAGTAACACGAGTATGGAACTGAATGCCACTGGTGATGTGTACACATCATCAGAAGCCAGCAGCCAAACAGAAACCACACATTAATACTGATAGTGAAGATGTGGAATACCCTTTTTCCTCCTTCTGTCAAGGAACAAACACATTCATCCTTTCAAATGAGTTCTTGATGCCAATTGCCGTCGTAATAGAAAACATTCTTCCTTCAAGGGAGGAGGGACAACCAACAGTCACTTCACAGAGCCACGGTACGAATGGGGTCCCAGCTACATTCACATAAATGCACAACCCAAAGTGGGAGAGGCAGGTACGAATTAGACAAATGAAACACAGCAGAAGTGACACTATCACATCATGTCTTTGATGTTAAATGCTTGAGCCAAAACCCAGAGAGAGAAGATTTTGTGCATCGATCAGTAAACTTGAGGCGTCCTTCTTCAGCGTGCATGCACTTTTGTCTGGATGCATGCCTCCTACTGTACAGCATGGGAATATACACCCTAATCCACAAAACATGGAACAACTGCCTAGCTTACCCTAACAGACAGCAGACTGGTTACACATATCCTGTATACGAACGCACACTCGTACCTGCTCTTGTGTTTGTGTGCCATCCTCGTCTAAAATAGTACGGCGTCCAGCATCTGTTGACTGCAGTGGAAGACAACAGGTGCCATAACATTTCTACTGGAACATAACTATTAATCATCGTGTTTTGTGAGATCTCCCTTATTGTGCTTCTTTTGTTGCCCACAGCCAGCAGCTTCATGTAACAAGCAGCTTGGGGCCAACAGGCTGTGGAAATGCCATTTGTTCTGTAAATTCTATTTGTCAAAGTTGTTTGTATAATGTGCATTTAGGTTTGTGCACCTGGAGAAGTGGGTCTTCTTTTGTCTCCATTCCGGTTGTAAATAATTTACTGCACCTGTTTTGCATCCAGAAGCACATAAACCATCAACATTATAGTTACTTGATAATTTGTAACCTCAGGTCAGGCTTCACTAACACTGCACAACAAAGAAGGGCAGTCTCCTAATTTGATTGCATTATAGTTACTTGATAATCTGTAACCTCAGGTCAGGATTCACTAACACTGCACAGCAAAGAAGGGCAGTCTCCTAATTTGATTGCACTGCAGTTACTTCAGCGTGTTTTTTGTTTATATTGAACTAGTAGAATAATGAGCACTGAGCAAGCACACTGTCCTCTTTACTGCAAATTTCAGGCTTATTTTAGTTGGAGGACTAATCCAGTAGGTCCTGCAGTTATACACCATAAGTCACCTTTCCACTGCTCTCTATTGGATTTCCAGGATAGAAAGCCCTGCCCTCTGCTTCCTGACTGGATGGTGACAGTGCTGTGCCTTGAACAATACTTGCACCAGTGACTGAACAGGACAGACATTTGATGCAGTTTTTTGAAGTTACTCTAATTATTATTCTAATTATTTCTCTTCTTTACACAAACCTTCAGTGAAGCTGGATCAGTGTTTGGCGTTTTAGCTTCCTGAACAGTGATCACCGCCACTTGACTTCACTGAAGAGTGTGAGATTAGATCTATAGAAAAACACACAATTTTCTTTCTTTGTTCTTTCTTTTGTTCTTTCCACTAGGCTTGTTCTTTCACCCATCAGTCACGGGTAATTGGGCAAAGCAGTGCTGCCTGCCTGGTCACTAGGGCTGAAGCTAACCATTACTTTTTTTTTGTTGCTTTGTATATATTTTGTAACAAAACATTTTTAAACAGTGCTGTCACAATTTCCCAGAGTCCAAGGTGATGTCTTTAAGAGAGCTGGATTTGGCAATGTAAAACAGACAACTGGTCTCATTTGAAAACCTGAACCAGAGGAAGTTTGGCATATTTGCTTGACAAGTGACTCAAATGGTTAATGGGTTATCAAAACTGCTGCTTATTATTCTTTGTTGATCAACTCATCAGTAATTGAATAGCTATTTCAGTTCTAGTCAACCTTTACACCAGGACAGTAGTCGTCTTCTTGAGTCATTGCTAGTGTGTGTGTGTCAGCTTAGGTGTAGCAAGGTACTGAATTTTGTGGGTGTTGCTCTGCTGTTAGAGCTATACCGAGAGGTCACAGGTCATGTGGCCAGTTTTCCAAACAATGCCATGTTTTCCCCTTGGTTTTAGTTAAATCTGTTTAGTCAGCTGCTATAATTCTCCCAGGTTGTGCTACATGTAAAGTCAAAAGTGATATACCTTCAGTGTCCTCCATTGCTCCTCTGTCGGTGGCTGTTGTCATCACAGCGGCGTCATGCGGTGTCACTGTGGGGGAGGCCATCTACAGTGGAAAATGAAGCAGCTGGTACCAAAAGCGAGTAAAGTCAAGTCGAGTTGAGCTGGTACCAGCAATGGAAAAGGATCTTATAGTAACACTCTTCTGGAACATGAGCATTACTGAGCTTGTCATATAATTTTTGTGAGCATCTGGCCCACATAGTGTATGCAACTTTAACATCGGCTAACATACTGTACCTTATAGTTTAGCCACTTTCTTGCTCCCTTTCTTCTTTATCAGCGTCATCATTTCTAATTGGTTGACTTGTCTGGAAGTGAATCATTCTGCAAATGATCATGCCATCTGAAATGTCTGGATGGAAACAAACATTCTCATGTCGACCTAACCGGTTAATTAAAAACAAACAAAATGTAAGATGTTAACTAGTGAGCTTTAGAGGTGCTGGTGGGTGGATTTTGTAACATTTGAAGAGATCCAGGCAATTTGCCTGTTTCCAGTCTTTGTGCCAAGCTAATTATCTGCTGGCTGTAGCTCCCAACTGATGAGAGTGGTTGATCTTCTTATCAAACTTTATCAAAAAAAAAAAAAAAAAATTTAAAAAGTGTGTTTCTTATTTTTGTTAAAACAAAGGCTGAGGTCTCAGTTAATCTTGTCAATGTTCTAGTTTTACTTCGGGTCAAATGCTGTGGAGAGTTATTGTCCCATGTGGAGTGCTGTGGCTTGTAGCTAAAGTTTTGTCCTTTATAAATGAAATGTTTTCCTTTCTAGAGACATGGTGACATTTTTTACCTTTCTCCATGATAAATAGTCTACAGTGTGTCCCTCTATTAAATGTACCGTTAAACAGCATAGACACAAGACTAAAGTCAGTCACCTCTCAGCTGCTAAAACTCTTTAATTTTGATTGATAAACTGCAATAAACAAACACAGGCCTACATGTAGGACCAGCAAACCAGGCTCCTTATTTCAGTCTTTGAATTATGAGCTGCTCATTAACCAGCTCCGACAAATATCTCTATTTTATTTTGGATCTGTTTGTGATGATTTACATATAAACTTGTTTCTCAGTGCAACTGTGTGCAGACTTGAAGGTCATCAGTTCATTTCAGGGTTTTTTTTTCTTTTTTACCATCAATTGCCAAAATGTCTCGAAACATTTCCGGTATTTAATTTTTGTCTTTCTTCAGATCAGCATCTCCCTGAATGATGAAGACCACTGAGCACTGAAATTATTATAAATAACTAATAAAACAACAAACTAGCTGACAAAATTCCTTATTGCTGAGACATGTTTTTAAATTGATGTGAATTGTGCAGCTTTTTAATTGTTTACAACACATAGAAATACCATAATTTAAATGTAGTAATATTACTAAAGGTTGGTGATGAAGGGAGGTCAACTTGTTAGTCAGCTTGGGTTTTAAATAATGTGTACAGATTCTAAAGTTGTGTGTGGTGTTTATTTTAAATCTGGCTTAAATGCTCCATGCTAACGTTTTAGTACACATGGTATTAAGAGATACAAACACCATGCTAATGTGGGCTAAAACCTTCTTAGCATGGAGCTAACATTCATGTAAGGGTACATAAATGACAAGTAGGACATTCTAAAAGAATGGTTTTAAAGAGCGATAAGAAAATATTAAATTGAACCTAAGGTGTGAACTTCATGACAAAGACACTTTATCATCGTAGATGATGGTTTTTCTTTGATTTTATTTTTCTACTGGGACTGTCACTAACTGTTGTGGTTGCCTGTGGACAATCTGTAAATGAGTTATGAAATTCAGCTGAATAAAAATGGGGGATTTTATAACTTTGTTATTGTCTTGTATTTGTACTTGTGAAATGTTGTTAAAGTTTACACTGATGCCTCCAGACAAGTATTTTATCTGTATCTTTTCATGCATTTACATGCCAAAGATTAAAGGTAACACTAGTAATCTATATTTTTTGTTTTTGTCAACAAATCTCATAAAAATACCAAAACCAACAGTGTGTTAGTTCATCTGTGAGTACTTAATGACTTTCCTACTCCGTCTGTGCAGCGTAGCAATGGGGCAATAACTTCCAAAGTTACCAGCAATATTAGATGGCATGAATTAAGCAAATGAGGTTATTATTTCTCCCAGGGAAAACACCAACGTAGTATTTCTAGAGAGAAGTTGATGCTTTTTGAATAGGAGTTGGTTGAAGCCAGCAAAGGAAGCACAGTGACAGGTGCTATAGGATGGTATATTGGGGGAAGAATGTGTATGCGGGATTAGCTGCAGGTGTGTCTGTTCGTGGTAATGAAGGAATATGTGACATAGTGCTGCAGTGGACAACAGTAGTGCTCTACAGCACAGAAGAAGATATATCCGGCTTTTGAAACATAGACAGTACTAGTTAGAAGGATCAGTCTATTGGTGGTGCTAACACGAGGTCTGTTTGCAAAAAGAAAACTGCTTTGTATTTGGGGCACTGATACACATTAATAAGCTGACGTCACACCAGGTGGTAGCATAAAGGCATGAACAGCTCTCTGTTTGTATGTTTAGCCTTCTCAGCCACAGCCCTCTGTTCCTTGGCCTATAACTAGTCTAGTAATCTTGTTAGTAGCTTAGTCTATTTAGCCAACTCCATCCTGCTGATTGGCACGGCTCATGTTTGGCCACGAGGAACTGAGCTCATTGTTGGCTGTGGCCAGCAGTGGTGGAAGAGATACTCGGATTCCTTTTTTAAGTAAAATTAACAATACAACTGAGTAAAAATACTCTGTTACAAGTAGAAGTCCTGCATTCAGAGTGTTAAATGTGGCACATTTAGCATAGATATAAATCATATTATTAGATTATAACAGATAAATTATTGTGTACATCATGTTTAATGTTGCAGCTGGTAAAGGGGGAGGAAGCTTTTTCTACCTTATATGCTTATAATTTGAATTACTGCTGGGTAATGTGAATTTACCACACTAAAGTCTTATGATTATACTATATAATTTGTGTACTAATCTGGTTGTGAAAAATAACTAACTAAAGTTATATAGTAAATGTATGGAGCAAAAGGTACAATATTTGCCCTTAAAATGTAGTGCAGTCAAAGTATAAAGTAGCACAAGATGAAAATACTCAAGTACAGATATCTTAAAATTGTACTTAAGTACAGTACTTGAGTAAATGTCCTTAGCTACTTTCCACCACTGGTTATCAACATTTGTGCTATTTTCTCATCAACTATTGCACTTAATGAAATAACTGATGTATTATTGTCACTGTGTATTTTGATGGTGATCTAGCTGCAGTTCAAAGTTTTCTAACAATATTCTGATTAAAATAATTTAGAGGATTGTTTTTGATTTTAGTGTTTACTTTTATTTTAAATCCTGTTAGCTTTGACTCTGAATAAACAAGAGATTTCTTTTCATAGTTAGGTCTATAACTATCCAGCAAACTTAGCAAATCAAGGTATTTAATACACCTACTTTTAGCTGTATCTGTGGTTTAGTCAGACCATAGTTTGCCAACCTCCAATAAATCATGAAGAATAGTTAGGGAATGTTAATAGAGATGGCAAGAAGGCATGTGATTGTTGTGTGACCAAATAGCTAAACGAAGATAACATTAACTCAGATGTAATAGGTCTTTATCAGTATTTTTAATATCAAGATTTCAACCATATCGCCAAGTCTCGCCTTACTGCACTTCTCTGGCTTTTATTTTTGACTAAATGCATTTCTCCAACAAACACAACGTTATGATGTTTCCCACAGTCGTAAATGCACCATATGCCCCCGCCCCAG